TAGCCCCGTAAATCCGGTGGGCTCTTTCTCAGAGGAACGGGCATAGGGCTTCCACCCATATTTACAGTCCAGCTGGACTTGGAAGCGAACCCCCTTATGCCGTCTGAAGTTTCGGCCTTCGTCTCTTTCGATGACCGTGGGCGCTTTTAATAGAGAGACCTGTCCGTGCGAGAGACCGTGCGGTTCCCTCCCATGACTGGCCCTCCTCGGCCCCGTGCCCTTGCCGTTTGGCCACGTTTCTGATTGCGCCCTCTTATAAGGATACTGGCATTGCCCGCCCCCGCTTTAAGCCCAGGCGCTGGCTGTCTACAGGAGAGCTGGATCGAGAGTTTTAAGTTGTGTCAAACTCTGCATCGGAACCTGAGATGGTGCAGAAAAAAATAGGCCTTGGCCTCTTGCCTTTCTCCCTTCTGCTTCCAACTTGAATCAAAGACGAGGATTTAGTTAAGTTTAATCAAACACAGGCTTTAGTTCAGCTCTTTATAACCTCGCTCTGTCTTCATTCCTGACTCCTGGAGAAGTCCCTGCGGTTTCCTTGGCAACGTTTTCAAAAAAGGCTTGCCAGTTCCTCCTCCCCAGGGTTGAGAGTGAGTGACTGGCCCAAGATCACCCAGCTGGCTTCCTACCTGAGGCAGGACTAGCACTGGTCTCCCAGTTTCTTTAGGGTGGGCACATTTTATGTCTGTGTGTACCAGTACATCTCTGGAGGATCTGAAACTTTATCCACAAGCTTTTCTGAATCCTCACTGTCCAACAGTTGCAATAATTAAAAAGCCTGTTCATCCTTTCAAAGTGGATTTAAAAAAATAGAATACCTGGGAGGGGGAAAAAAGGTGAAAAGGCTTGTGAGCTTTGTTCTAGTCTTACCCTAAACATCTGAAATAAGCATGTACTTTTTGGCTTTATTGTTAGATTAAGTTCATCTATTATTTTAAGCCTCAGTATGATTAAATTTGGCTTTGTTTGTTCGTTTGTGCCTTCAAGTCAGTGTCAAATCCTGGCAACTGCCTGAACAGTTTTCTTGGCAAGATTTCGGAAGTGGTTTGAGATTGCCTTCTTCTTCCTAGAGCTGAGAGAGAGAGGCTGGCCCAAGATCACCCAGCTGGCTTTGTGCCTAAGGCGGGACTAGAACTCATAGCCGCCTGGTGTCTTAACCACTACACCAAACTGGCTCTCCATTTTGGCTTACTGGGTTTTAAATTAGGCCATTATGTATTTAAACTATGCTTTATAACTTAGCATATTAGATACATCTAGCCAACTATGATTTATTCAACAAGTGATTAACATGAAACTTATTTTAGCACAAAATAGTCACTGTGGTGGTGTGGTGAAGGTATTGGACTAGGATGCTGAGAATCGAGTTCTAATTCCTTCTCAGCTGTGGAAGTTCACTGTATGTTGTAAGGGCCAGTCATATTCTCAGCCTAACAGAGCTGTTGCTGGAGAGATAAAATAGAGACCCTCATGGAAACTCTTGAGCTCCTGCAGAAAAGGCGGGATGTACTTTTAATAAATAGTAACAATATAGTATATAAGCATAGTCTTAGTAAGACACCAATCTCATCCGACCCCCTTCAGTTCAGCCCCTGGGTTCTGGTAGGTAAACCTCAGATTTGATTATGGCAGTGGGGATAAAACAACTGTAGAGAGAGGTTTTATGTATCAAACATAAATTTATATTAAGGACTATTTTGTTGCTTTCTTTCATAGATTCTTCTCATTACTGTATTGCTTTCATGGGGCTATGTCATTTATGCAACCCGAATAGCAGCCAAATGGCAGTTGAAGGAGAACTATCCCACAGAAGCCCAGAATCTTTGAGGCATCTCCGAACTAGAATACAGGTAGTCCCCAGTTTAAGAATGAGTTTCGTTCCCAAAGTCTGTCCTTAAGTTGAATTTGTATGTAAGCTGGTTATTATTGCATAATACTGTATAAGTAGTATCATGTAATGAATTTGAATGATTGTGTATTTAACTCAAATCATTGTGTATTTAACTCAGATTCTACCACAGGAACACAAAGACATTCTATAACTCCATAAATAATAATCTGCAAGAACTTGCATTCCAAACTAGAATGCTTGAGCTGCAGCAGTAATACTGAAGCTTCAGAGATAAAGATAACAGCTGTGAAGATTTGATACTCAGTACTGTTAACATATAATTAAGAAAACATCCTTGAATATCCCTTAAAAAACAACAACAGGATTTTACATTTCTTTCACTTAACTGCTTATTTTAATACGGTTCAGAAGAGTAAGGTCAGAAGAATAACTGCAAGTCCAAAGAGTCATTACTATGAAAACATGCCTAAATGATCTAGCTGCTTTGTGCAAGGAACTGATTTTAGAGTTAAAACAACAAAAAAATTACATTCCTACACAGTGCTTTTAATGGTACAGAAATAAATGCCTGGATATCTTTGGAAAGACTTGGCAAAAATGTATATGATAGATCAGAAATCCAGGGAGAACTTGAAGTTAAAGGACTCTTCAAATTACTTAATGCTGTTTTGAAGAAAAATCTTCATCACGCTGGTATTCATTATAATAAATATATATGATGTTTTTGTAAAATATGTCCATTGTACAATGAACTGCCAAAGCCAAAGGTTATCTACTTAGGGACATTTTTTAAAGGCATATTTAATTTTACTCAATGGCAATTTATGTAAATTAAAATGTAACTTTAGTCTTTTTTCTTTTGTTCACTTTAGTTGTTATCACATGTCAATTAAAGAATTGTTTTAATTGAGTACTTGGTAGTCAATCTGTAATATTTTGAATTTACTCATTTGTCTTTTAACTGCAGCTTTTATAAAATGCAAGGCCAGCCACTAAATCAGGAATACTAATGGATTCAATAGAGTGACAGTAACAACTGCAATATACAAAAAGGGTGAGAGAAACCTGCCCCCAAACTACAGACCAGTTAATCTGTTAAGTATAGTAAGTCGGTTGTATGTCAAATACCTGTATGGCAGAGCAACATGGGTTGCCTTAGGCACAAACAGGGCATTCTGTGTTACATTCAACCTTCATCGGGCAGGAAAAAACCCTCCAAAACTAATCTAGGCTTAATAATCAGCATTTATTGACCCTAGATCCACATTTGACCCGATCTGGAGAGAAACTTGGGTGTAAATTATGATCAACATCAGCTATTTCTCTTGATGTCAAAATTATATGAACCCACATCTTGGGGTTCACTTCAGCAGCCAAGGGCACCTGCTAAATTCCAAATTTTAGGGGCTAGACAAGGTTGCATCCTGGCTCCATTATTGTTCAATTTATATATTACCACTTGGTGCTTGTTTAGACTGTCATCCACCAAACCTGACAAAACTCTTGGTATGCTCTTTTATGCAGATGACAGATAATTCTCAAACTCCAGTACAGGTAGTCCTTGTTTAGCGACCACAATTGGGACCGGCAACTCAGTCATTAAGCAAAGGGTTGCTAAGTGAGACTATGACTCTTACTTCAGCTTTCCTTTGCTTTACAGACCTGCAAAGATCATAAATGCGAGGATTAGTCACAAAGTTACTTTTTCATCGCCATCATAACCAATCACTGTACGAGGCAGTTGCTAAATGAGGACTACCTGTAGGTTTAAGAAAAGCTTTGTATGCTCTTGCTACCTCCCGTGACAATCTCTCTTTGCAGATTAATGACAATACCAAAATAATGGTGTTCACTAAAAAGCAAGGGAGGGTAAATTGGCCACTATATGGACAGAGTTTAGTACAAGCTGCTTTAAATACCTTGAAGTAATCACCCATGCAGATTCTAACTCTAACACCTTTCCAGCCTTTCTCAGGATCCAAGTTTGTTCCTGCTGCACTAAAGCTATTGTCAGCAGAAGCCTGTGAGTAGATTCTTTATGGAATGCCACCTGATATCTATTCCAGCTTTTCAAAGGTTGAGCCTATTCAGTCCAAGTTCCTAAAAAAATATTTTTCAAATGCCTCAGTGTGTGCAAGCCCTAGTGCTGCTTGTCATATGGAAGCAGGACTACAAAGCTGAAGCCAGCACACCAGTTAGTATCTTTGAATTTGGGCAAAGCTGCTTACTTTCCGTCTAGGCTCACCCATATGTTTTAACTGACCCCTTTATCTTGAAGTGAAAAAAAGGTTGGAGGAATAACTGTACCACAATGGCTTTTCTCCTCACACACTAAAAACAGTGGGAAATAACTTGGGCTGGAAGAATATCAGACAATGATTATTTCATAAGGAAATTGAGCCCAGCCTCATTCCTACTGATATCTTCTTAGGAAACCAGGTTACGAGTCATAAGCCTGCCAGATACCTTAATCTGATCCCCATCCCAAAATTCCAAAGCACTCTGATACATACTCTGTAATACCCTGCAAACTGTCCTGGAAAAGAGATTCCAAAAGACCTTTGCCACTGTAAGTCAGGAGCCACTGGGACAATACCCAACATGCTTTTTATTATCACTCCTATCTGCAAAACAAATTTATCATGCCTTCATCAGTGCGATATCCAGGCCATAATGGGTTTTTATCTCAATCATCTTTTAGTTGATGCACTCTTTCAATGTCATCAAATTTTGCTTAACAGCCATCAAGAGTCAGCAGGACCTTATTAGATTTAACTAAACTTTCTCCAAGCTTAGTAATAACGGTAACTGTTAACCCTCCTGTTTATCTGTTCCAGATGTATTTATGATGGTCTCCTCAATGAAGCCTTAGTGCAAATAGCCTCAGGGTTCGAAGTGATTTACCTGAATGAAGAAAGTTTAACTTGCGCTGGCTGCTGTGTTCACCTTAACTCTTTTATTCCGTTTTGTTTTATTTATCTTTTAATCTTATTTTTATGTTGGATGTTATGTAAGGCCTATCAGTAACCAAAATAAAGTACTTTGACTTTAGATTCAGGATCTATTCATGATCAGTGACTGCACTAGGGACCATCCCAGCAGAGTATTGCTTCCCACATACCCCCAAATTACCCAATAATCATTAAGTCTCTTACTGTCCATTTTGAATTATATATTCATTTGTATAGGAAACAATAAAAGAAGTGTTTTAGTTTTTCAGGTCCTTGAGCTTCTCAGTCCTCACAGAATGGTAATTCTGCTGGTGGTGGTGGTGAAATTACTTCTTCCTCCATTTTGTCTCCCTAACAAATGAAAAAAATGTCAGGATATGCAAATATTTTAAAGACAACATTCATTAACTATCTCCATGGTTTTTTTCAGAGGAAGATTTGGTACTATTTATGCACAATTTATACAAGATATATTTTTCTTAACTTAGAAATTATAGGTATATGACAGATTGCTGTAGGACAAGTGGAGTTAGCCACAATAATTTTGTATTGCCATAAAAATAAAAATCTTTATAGGTCATAGGAATAAATGTCTACTTCAGACTTACATTTGTAACTGGAGTTCAGTATTCTAGAACAGAAACGGCTGCTACAGAGAAAATTCGAAGCCATCCAAGCAACATACCCACTGTTTTCAAGGAATGTTTTTGTGTTCCTTTTCTAATTTAGTAGATGCTCCTGATTGAGGAAGTGATTAAAAGCGCTGGGCTAAAAACCAGGAAACTCTGAGTTCTAGCTCGGTCTTAGCACAAAGCCAGCTGGGTGACTTTGGACCAGTCACTCTCTCTCAGCCTTGGGAAGGAGGTAAGGGCAAACTATTTCTGAAAAACCTTGCCAAGAAGTACAAGTAGCACAGACTACTCCAAGTAGTCATCAGTAGTCAAGCCTTGAAGGCAAAAATTAAATGAAATAAAATTTAAAAATAATCCTAGGTTTTTCTTATCTACAATCTCAGATTGTTTTATTTTACACAAAAAGATGTTACAAGGAATAGAAATGAAGACGACTTACTGGATATATTGCGGCTTTTCTTTGAACAATACCATTGGGAATAGGCTGTAAACAAAAACAGCAGAATGATGATTCTGAAGAAAGTAATCATTTTGGAAGTTCTCTGGAATTTATCAGATAGACTTTTCCTATCTTGGTATCTTTTCAATTCCCTGTAGTATGGAATCATTTTAGTACATTTGACCTCATTGTGTTCTCAGCAAAATCCTCTGCAACCAAATAAAACCAGAACATAACCACTTTCATGAATAGGAAGAACTCACTTTTATTGTGCTTCTGGAAAATACCTATATGAGTTTCTTGTTTGTGCATAATAGCACATGAGTGAACAAAATTGTTTCTTAATATCAAAAGAACCAAAATATTTCCCAAATTACATAGATGCTTACTAAATATACAGTCGTGTGAAAAAGAAAGTACACCCTCATTGAGTTCTATGGTTTTACGTATCAGGACATAATAAAAATCACCTGGTCCTTAGCAGTTATCAAAAGTAGGTAAATACAACCTCAGAT